GCGACGATGCCATGTTCCCTGTGACTGGCGACAATGACTTGGTCGCGGCTGGGCTGTCCCCGGAGCACGATGACGACGGTCGTGACCCCTTTGCGGTGTTTGATGACGCCACCCGCGGGACACAGCCGGCGATCGACGTCGATCTGCCGCCGATCAATGCAGGGGAACGGGGATGGGGCGGTGGACTCAACGCCCACTCCAACAAAGACTTTGGTGTTAATGGTAATGCTGATGGTAATGGTACTCGTACTCCTTCCTCTGGTGTTGTTTCTGGACTTGGTAAGCGCAAGTCTAAGTGCTGGGGTGACTTTGAGGAGGTTTATGAGAAGATTAATGGTGTCGATGTGCGTGTTAGAGCTATATGTAAGATGTGTAGAACGGTGTTGAGTGCTAGATCTGCTGCTGGTACTGGTCACATTTTTAGGCACCAAAAATCTTGCAAACAGAAACTTGATAATGCTTCTAGGGTTCAGTCTCAACTAGCTTTTAATGCTGATGGGTCTTTGCATAATTGGAACTATGATCCTGCTGTTGCTAGAACTGAACTGTGTAGATTGCTTGCTAGGCTTGATCTTCCTCTTGGTTTTGGTGACACTGATGCATTTGAGGAATATATTAAAAATTCTCATAACCCAAGATTTGTTAGATCATCTAGAAGAACCACCACTAGAGATCTGGATAAGTTATTTGCTGAACGTCGTGCTATGATTAGGAACTGTGTGCATGCTTCTCGCATCTCGTTGCTTTGACTTCGACATATGGTCCGTAATGCTAAAGAGGATTACATATCTCATTGTTGCTCACTATGTGAATGCTGATTGGGAATTGCAAAAGAAGATTGTTGGTCTTAGGTTGATTCAAGTTAAGCATTCGGTGAAAACATTTCGCTTCCATTGCATCTGTTGTTGAGGAGTATGGCTTGGTTGATAAAATCTTTTCTATCACTTTAGATAATGCATCTTCTAATGCTAAGGCTATGGAAACTTTGACACCCATGTTTGCTGGTTATCTTGGTTGTGATCCTGCACCTGATGATCCTGCACCTGGTTACAGTCTTGTGCATCAACGCTGTGCTTGTCACATTATTAATCTGATAGTCAAATCTGGACTAAAAAGAATCAAACCTTATATAGATGATTTTAGAACTACAATTAATTTCTTGAACTCCTCTAATCAAAGAATTGCTATGTTTAGAAACTACTGTGAAGCTAAAGGTATGAGACCTAGAAAATTTGGCTTAGACATGGATGTTAGATGGAATGCTACTTATCTCATGCTAAAACACTTGGTTCCTTACAGTGAAGTATTTTCTGTGTTCATAAATTCAAATTATGGTTCTGCACTGTTGTCTCCAGCCCATTGGCACGTGGCTAGGAAAATATTGGAGTTCCTGGAAGTATTTTATGACTCTACTGTTACACTTCCTGGTGTTTATTATCCTACCAGTCCTCTTGTGCTGCACCATGTTCTGGAGATTGCAACCCATTTGCATGCATGTGAAAGGGATGTTAATCTTAGACCCTTTGTGTACCCTATGCAGCATAAATTTCTTAAGTATTGGAAGGACATTCCTCTCTTATACTCATTTGCATTCATTCTTGACCCTAGAGCTAAGCTCAGAGGTATGCAAAGGGTCCTCCATTTACTTACTGAATATACTGGTACTGATTACACTACTTACTATGCTGATTTGAAAACTGAGTTGCATAAAATGTTTGAGAAATATTTGAGAAAGTTTGGTGCAACCAGGTCACAAAGGGTTGCTAGTCCTACCCCACCCACTGGTAAGAGAAAACAGGCTTGGGGGTAATTTTTGGAGGATCAGGTCTGCCTGGTCCTTCCAGTGGCACTGCCTGTTCTTCTTCTCACTCTACTGCTGAAAGCTCTAGTTTGGTTTTGGTAAATTGATGAAACCCTAAGTGCTAACCTAGTTCATCAAGTGATCATGAGATAGGTAGCACACTTCAAGTAGAGAAGCAAATGAAGATCATAACATGACAATGGTGATAGCATGGAGATGATCAAGGGCTTAAAACTTGAAGAGAAGAAAGAGAAAAACAAAAAGCTCAAGGCAAAGGTATAACTTGTAGGAGCTATTTTATTTTAGTGATCAAGACACTTAGAGAGTGTGATCACATTTAGGTTTGATAGCCGTACTATTAAGAGGGGTGAAACTCGTATCGGAATGCGGTTATCAAAGTGACACTAGATGCTCTAACTCATTGCATATGCATTTTAGGATCTAGTGGAGTGCTAACACCCTTGATAATATTTGTGTAAATATGCTACCACATGTGCACAAGGTGTTTGTAGGGTTGAGATGGGTTTGGGTCCTTTCCCTCCCGCCTCATAAGCTTCAGCGGGATTCGCGCTTTCGGGAAAATGAATGTCTATTTTCTATTGCGCGGATGCAAAATTCTTGGTGGTTGGCACACTTGAGCAAGGGTGAAGAAGTAAGAGTTGAAATGGAGTTGATCGAAATGATGTCAAGTTGGTCTCATCGACCGGACGCTGGTCACTCAATGACCGACGCTGAAAGGTCAAGCGTCCGGTCCGAGCCGCCGACGACAACACAATGGCTAGGGTTGAGCACGGACGGGTCATTTGTTGCGTCCGGTCAAGGTGGACCGGACGCGTCCGGTCAAAAAAACATGCCTCGGGAGCTTACTGGAAACGACCGGACGCTGGGGCTTCAGCGTCCGGTCAGTTTTACCAGAGCGTCCGGTCAGCTTCGCAGCCGTTGAAATCTGACGAACAACGTTTGAAGTTGGTGACGCGTGGCATCCATCGGGCGACCGGACGCTGAGGGCCAGCGTCCGGTCAGTATGACCGGAGCGTCCGGTCAGAGCGCGTTTTGCCCAGTGAAAAGGTATAACGGCTCTATTTGATTGGAGCTCTATTTAAGCCCCATGGCCGGCTGTGGCTCACATCTTTGGCCATTTTTATTGACATAGCAACCTTGTGAGCCTAGCCAAAGTTCTCCCACTTATTTCCATCATAGATTAAACATCTTTGTGAGATTGGGAGAGAATCCAAGTGCATTGCTTGAGTGGTTGCATCTAGAGGCACTTGGTGTTCGTGTTTCGCTGTGGATTTCGCTTGTTACTCTTGGTGGTTGCCGCCACCTAGACGGCTTGGAGCAGCAAGGATCGTTGAGTGGAGTAGGTGATTGTCTCCGACTCCGATCGTGGTGATTGTGAGGGGTTCTTGACCTTTCCCCGGCGGAGCGCCAAAAGGTACTCTAGTAAATTGCTTGTGGCTTGTGTGATCCTCATCTTGTATTGGTTGTGCGGCACCCTATTGAGGGTTTGGCGAGTGATGCCAATCAGCGCGTGAACCTCCAAGTGAGTGAATCGCCACAACGAGGACTAGCTTGCCGGCAAGCAAGTGAACCTCGGTAAAAATCATTGTGTTCATCATTTAATTCCGAGGTGATTGGTCATCATTGTTATTCATCTTCGTGATTGATTGGTTCATTCATCTACACGGCGGTATAACCCTCTTGATCACTCTCTTTACTTTACCGCAAACTAGTTGACAAGTTCTTTAGTGTAGCTAGTTGTGAGAGCTTGCATGCTTGGTTGGTGTGGCTCTTTAGTTAGCCTTTGAGAGCACACTAACATAGGGTAGTGTCATTGCTCTTGTGTGAATTGACACTATATAAACTAGAATTGTGGTAGGTGGCTTGTATTTTTGAGTAGGCTAGCGCAACACTCGCTTCGCCTCATAATTGTCTAACCATTTGGTTAAGTGTTGTTGTAGAAATTTTTATTAGGCTATTCACCCCCCTCTAGCCATTAAGACCTTTCAACTGCTTCTGAACTTTCAAGCTATTTGGACAGCGACTGCATAACTGCTTATGAGGATGGTTTTGACATTCTTCTGTGGTGGAAGGACCACAAACTAACCTATCCCATCCTGGCTATTATGCCTAGAGATATCATGTCAGTTCCTGTTTCCACTTGTTCTTCAGAGTCTTGTTTCAGCTTAGCAGGGAGGATCCTAGAAGAACGGCGTCGGAGCTTGAAACCAGAACATGTTGAGATGCTAACCTTGTTGAAGGACTGGGAGCTAGGAGAGAAGAGGGAACAACATGAAGCTGCTGATACTAAGAAAATTGAAGATGCATTCGAGAATCTGTTCCTGGATAAACCAGAAGGTGAAGATGATGCATCTGGTGGCTGAGAGTGGCATTGGTTGGCTGGGAGTGTTGGAGTACTTTTGTATGAGTTGAGAGTGGATGTGTCCCTCACTCACTTGCTTAGTTTTTATTTGAACATTTGAACAATGGTCTGTAATAACTATGTAAGATTAAGACATTTGGAGCTGGCTGCACTCTTTTTTCCTGCCTAGGGTTTCTCACAAGGGTGAGTTTTACCTAAGTAGGTTTTTAATGAGGCAGCATTGCACAAAATAGCTCTTTTTGATATTTAAATCTGTTGTCTTCATCTTGTTGTTGCTGCTGTTTATTGCCTAAGTGTCCTAAATGGCTAAGTGTAAAAAAATTATGTTGGTCAAAATTCACACTTATGTGTTCATGGTTGAAAAAAATGGATTGAGATGTTTATTTGGAGGTTTTTTAGATTTAACGGATCGTGGGGGGCATGGCTCGCTATTTTTGCCGTGCCCTCACGGGCCAAAGACGGCACGAAAAAATGGCCCATGTGTCCGCACTGCTCGGTCAAGGCCAGGCCCGCAGGCCGATGAGGCACGGCCCGCAGGGCACGGCGTGTCTCCTTAGCCCGATAGCCATCGTGCCATGCCGGCCCGTGACCGTGCCGTGCCGGGCCGGGCCGGCCCGATGCCCAGATATACTCTCCCCGTCAACCCACTAGCTACCTGTATAAATTTGCCGCCCGCCCTCCTCGTCGTAGAGGAGAGGAGCAGCAGCGCAGCAAGCTAAGCTCTCGTTGAGCTAAGCTAAGCTAAGCTAAGCTAGTACCGACAGCGACGAACAAGCTAAGCTAGATATACTGTCGTTTGAGTTTGAGGTCAGCGTCATGGATATAGAGATGAAGGTGTCGTTTAGGGTTAGGGAGTTCGACATGGAGAGGGACCTGGCGGCGGTCGAGGAGCTCGAGCGCCGATGCCAGGTCGGCCTGTGCGGCGACGACACCACACCCGACGACGACGACCACAGTGGTGGCGGCAGCAAGCTGAGGAAGACGACGACGACGACGACGAAGAAGAAGAAGGGCATGTCGCTCTCCGTCGAGCAGGTCGGCGACCCGCTGGCGAGGGTCCGCCACGCGCCGGAGCACGTCATGCTGGTAAGTGGCGGCCTAACTAATCTACACGCAGCAGCAAGCTACCAAATTATCAAGCACAGAACTAACGATAAACAAAAGAAGAACTGTTTGTTTGTTACTGATAATTGATGTGCACGAATGAAAGATGCACGCATTCGACAGTGACAAATTATCAGATTATTCTGTACGTTGGCTGATGAATTTGCAATGCTCAGGTTTCCGAGTATGGCGAGGAGAAGGAGATGGTCGGGCTCATCAAGGCCTGCGTTAGGGTGGTGAGCAGAGGCGGCCGCAAGAAACACAAACCATCTTCCTCCCCGAACCCGAAGCAGCAGCAGCAGCAGCCGTCGCCGGCGGCGTACGTGAAGGTGGCCTGCCTCCTCGGCCTCAGGGTCTCTCCGTCTCACAGGTACGGTGTCACGGTGGCCATGTCCTCCGCACCACTTCACTCCTCTTTTTGTTTCTTCAGTTTTCACCACATGCGGATGGATGCGCATGCACACAACACAATGCGTCCATTTCTCTGCTCCACACCAACGTACTTTCTCTGCTTGCCTAATCGCGCGCCGCGGAGTGGGCCCACCGTTCCGGCTGGTTGGCCGGAGTCCACTGCAGGCGCACGCACGCACGGTTCTCGAGGCGCCGCAGCCGCCGCCGTCACATGGGTTGAAGTTTGAACGGCTGTATGTGTGCTTACGTTAATTGGGCTCTCTTGCAGGCGGCTGGGGATCGCGACGGCGCTGGTGGAGCGCGCGGAGGAGTGGTGCCGTGAGCGCGGCGCGGCGCACGCGACGATGGCGACGACGACGTCCAACGCGGCCTCGCTGGCGCTGTTCACGGGCCGGTTCGGGTACGCGCCGTTCCGGCGGCCGGAGTTCCTGGGCCGGCCGGTGCACGCGCACCGCCTGCCCATCCCGAGCGCGCACCGAGTGTTCCCGCTGCCGCCGCCGCTGGCGGCCGCGGCCTACGCGCGCCTGTGCCCGCCGCACGCCACGGAGTTCCTCCCCGCCGACATGCCGGCGCTGCTCTCCCACAAGCTCACGCTGGGCACGTTCGTGGCCATCGAGAGCGGGCCGGAGCGGGACCCGTCCGCCCCGCCGTCCTTCGCCGTGCTCAGCGTCTGGGACTCCACCCGCTCCATGCGCCTCCGCGTGCGCGGCGCGCCCGCGCTGCTCCGCGCTTCGCTCGCCGCACTCCGGGCGCTCGACCGCGGCGCGCCGTGGATGCGCGTCCCCTCCATCCCGGACATCTTCAGCCCCTTCGGCGCCTACCTCCTCTACGGCCTCCGCATGTCCGGTCCCGCGGGCCCGGACCTGCTCCGCTCCCTCTGCCACCACGCGCACAACGTGGCCGGCAAGAACCCGGCCTGCGCCGTCGTCGCCGCCGACGTCGCGCCCGACGACCCGGCCGCCGCCGCCGTCCCGAGGTGGCGCCGCTTCTCCTGCGACGAGGACGTCTGGTGCATCAAGAACCTCACCAAAAATGCCGACGACGACGACGACGGCTGGGCGGCGACGGTGCCGTCCGGGACGGTCCTGTTCGTCGATCCCCGCGAGTTTTGACGTAGCCATGGGCACCGAACCATGCATGGCAGGTATTGGCAGAGGGCTAACCACCTCGCCTCTGCCAAGTTTTGACAACTAGACACGTGTACATACGCTTGGTACCGCAATGGCAATCACCTGCCTTGCCATTTGTGGTATCAAACCACCCAAGCTAAAGTGATGATGTCTGTAACGGTAGCATTTGCTTCTGGATTGAGGATAACAACGAGGTTTGTCTTAGTTTCTTTCTAATCAATGTCCAAGGAAGAAGAACCGGTTAACGTGTTTTCCTGAACTGTGAATGGCAAATTGGTGCAACGCTGAAAGCGCTCCAAACGCACGGCAATTTCGTCTGCATGTATCCACAGACGAAAATGACGTGCACTGACAGGGAGACGACGACGGCAACAGCTTGCAATGATTCACAACGCCAGTTGGTCAGAATGTCACTTAGTACATATCGAAGCTCTTCAGTAAATGCAGTGAACTTTGGGGTCTTGTTTTTACAGTTTAACTAGCATTGTAATCATAAGCAACAACTAATAAGAAGAATTCCAACTCAGGTTAGTTTTAAAATCTAGCAGTCCTAATCAAATTGACCGTTGGCAGAAATATTCAGTGGGAAAAAAAGAAAATGAGATGAAAAGGGCATTTCTGTCATCTGCTCATCCTTCCAATCACGCTACTAATATCCATCCATCTTTTGACTGACGAAACCAATCAATCCGAAAAGATATTGATAGGTACTTTGGTTACTGAACCCCAGCAGTTCAGCTTCAACGACCTGATCTATATTCCAGCACAAGTAAGCAACCAAATCTTCTTTATTCATCGTCAATTCCATGCGCAAAATCAGCCAAATATTATTCCGAGATCACCTAAATCCCTGTGCCCCACCAATAACAAGAACCTTTCAGTTGGTGCAGATCTGATGCTTCCATGATGTTGATCTGATGCATGGTCCATGTCACCAACGCCGCATGAGAGGTCCACAACACAAGGAGAAAGTACACTCACATCCCTGCTTCAGAGAGTTTAGAGCCAGATCTTCACATAGTATCAGCCAAACATGGCATGTCAAGGAACTGATCATGAGCGCTAGACGGCGATGGTCCAGGCCCCTCCTATATACTCTGACCAAAGAAAGCCATGGATGGAGATGGACCTCTGCAAAAGAGCCTAGCTTCATCAGAAATGGCTCAGTAAACTGCAGAAGCAGCTAGGTTAGCGTGGTCCCTGAAAACCTGCCCGGCCAATCGATGAACCACTGCGAAACTAAAGCTCAAGAAGTGACAGGACTGGCTTATATAGATTAGCCAAAGCATTTCGCAAGTTGTGGCCTTTCATGCAGGGTTGCCATTGGCCATTAGGGTTCTTTTTTGCTTTTTTGAACGAATTAGGGTTCTTTGGTCCCCTACACAATCCTAGGAGGGGGTGTACATGGCCATGGCTGCATTCACGCTCAGTCGCTCACTGGCCACTTTGTTCGGCGTCGGCGCCGCGCGCAGAAAGGTGCAAGAGGAAACCAGAGGGAAAGAGACGGCTGGGAGGAATTTGCTGCAACAGATTCAGTACCAGCATAACAGCACAACAAAAGGCATGAAACAATGGACAGAAGATTGTGTAAGGGAGCAAAGCGAATTTTAAATCCTTATTATTTTGCCTAGTGCAAAACATAGGCATACAATGACAGGAGATTATTAAAGACAGGCACACATCTATTTCATATACATCTGAATCTGATTATGTTATGCAGATGAATTATGAAATGATTATTAAGCCTATGATTACATGAAATGCCTGGGCAAAAACCTAACGAACAGCATAACCAGATAGAGGCAAATAAAACAGAAATAATGGCCTTATCAGAAAGGAACAATAGAAGAACTGTCTTTTTCAAAGGAAAAAGGAACTAAGCGATGAGATACATAACAGAAATTGCCTTTGAAATCAGCCCTAACAGATGCCTGCAGAGAATATACCAATAGAAAAAGAAGGGCAGTGCCAAGTGCCAACTAAAAAATCGAAGATATGCTGGAGAGGAATATGGAAAGGCGAAACAAAAGGAATATTTGAAACCTTTTATGCTGGTGAATAAGTATGTCAGAGCAAGTTTATTTTATTTCAAGAAAAGGAGCTCCTTTTGTGACCCGACAGGGACGTTAAGCTCCATTTTTTTAGTTTCAGAAGATACCCCTATTGCATCAGAAATGCACTAACGAGATAAGCTGGAACATCCGTATCTGAACAAAGACAAGATAACAGATCGATGTCTGCATTCGAATGGGTTATTTCTTCAGGAGCGTTGAACAAGAATCTACAGGTGTTGATGTCTCCTCATCGTTTTCAGGAGCATTGAACTAGAATCTAAAGCATTCAGGATCACTGAGCAATGTCTCCATCATCCTGATGCATCAGTGTGTGTTTTGGCAACGTGCTTTCTGGTCTACAGCGTGATCGGCTGGGGCTGGCCAGGCCCCTCATAAAAACACTGTTCATCTAAATCAGCCAACAGTACTTCTCTCTCACATAAACGAACCAGCAACGATACGAACCAGCCAACCGAACAAGCTATTCAGTAGCGACTTGGCTTCTTTATCCAGCTTTTACGGGATGCTAAGTGGAAGATAGCTGCCCCACACGACAAATATTGTATACATCCAACAAGGAATTAGATTTCATTTCAAAGAACTGTTTAAACTTTATAAAGTTTTTCCTTCCACTCACTTCATTAAGGCTCATCCTTACGTTGTAAACTCCCATGTCCCATCTTGAGATAAGATTTAGGGTGCGTTTTGTAGAGATCTATATTCTCGTAGAAACATTTCAAATCTAAATTCTGTAAAGAGATGTTCAACTAACCAATTAGAATCACTCCATGAGAAATGAGATCATTTGGTTGGTAGGCTGGACTCTGGTTAAAATTGTCTTCTAAAAAGAAGTCCTATAAATAAAATTATATTTATATTCTTTAAAATTCAGAACCTTTTGTCGCTGAAGAACAACTTAAATAAATTCATTTTTAACTTGTTTCACTTAAAAAGATTATATAAATAGTCATGGTTGCTAGTAGAGATAGGGGACAAGAATAAAAATCATGTGAAACCAGCTAACTGTCATTTCTCCTTCCAAACAAGGGCATAAAAACGAGAAATAGTTCTGGTGATTCTCAAGTGAAATTTTTCTCGCTTGACCTGTGTGGCAATGATTCTACCAATTGTCGCAAGAATAAATAAAATAAGATGTTTCTGGTTGTTTTTGGGTAAAGCCCCCACACACACACACACTTCCTTCCTTTTCAACAACCCTTTTCAACCAACATGACTCAAATCAACGGGACATGCAATGCAAAATATATGAGCACAATCTTACTCTGCGGGTGATAAGGATTCGAGGAAAGATATTAGATGGCATCACGATTGATTTAGCTAGCGATCTTACTCTGCAAGTGATGAGGATTAAGGAACCAGAAAATAGACAACAACATGATGGACAAGCCATTTAGGTGAAAATGGTGAAATCAGATGGCAACTGAATGAACTCAGGGCAATAAGAATGAGATGGCAACTGAATAAACTTAGTTCAAGCATTTCATAGACAGTACAGATGACACCTGACTCTAGTAGTCTGCTAATCGCATGACACAATCAACCACCCAATACAAGGCTTCAATTTTGAAACAACTGAGCATAAGCAGAAACTACAGGTATGACTTTTTAATCTATTGGCCACCCCTCAGAGCAAGCACAAGATGGAGCACGGAACCACCTTCAATGTTGTAATCCTTGGCGGTTTTGTCATCAGCAAGCTGCTTCCCAGCATAAATGAGCCTGCGCATGCGAAAGTTTTATTAGGACCACACAATGCTAAATGAAGATTACAAGAATTTGGAGCTTGTAGAAAGGTTTCAGATTCATTTAGATTATAGAGTCAAGTCGAGTACCTCTGCTGAACAGGGGGTATTCCTTCTTTCTCCTCAACGCGCTCCTTGATCCTATCGATTGTGTCAGTGGGCTCAATGTCAATCTCGATTTCCTTCCCAGTCAGTGTCTTCACCTTGATCATAGTTCCACCCCTGAGCCTCAGGACCAAATGGAGTGTCGACTCCTTCTGAATGTTGTAATCAGCTAATGTTCTCCCATCCTCCAATTGCTTACCAGCAAAAATCAGCCTCTGCTGGTCAGGCGGAATGCCCTCCTTGTCCTGAAATATATAAGGCAGTATGTCAGAGAACCTGCAGAGTTAGAATGGTATTCCTTAACCCATCTTTCAATCAGTGTTACTTCTTATGATCACAAGTTTTGGAATGTGAGTCAGATTTAACTGCACTTGGTCAAACATGGACAAAGGCATGGAATACAAATATTGAACATGCACAGGTGTTAGAAAACAAAAATTACATAAGCATGGACAACGTTCTTCAAAGCTAAGTCAGATTGAGCTGTTAGACTAGGAAATTCTTTTGTGCATCTTTTGTGCACCAAAAATGACACAAGAGTAAGCTTTTATTTTCCTAAAATGTGACTGAGAATCTGAGTAACACTGCACTCAAATACATTAGCAGCATCAAGGAAACCTTTTCTACTTAAAATCTAATCATGCAAAGCCTAGCATGGGAAAATAAACCTGCCATTCAGCACTGGGGTTACATGTATGATCATAAAGTCATGTTTGACATTGTCATTGCCTGCAAAAAAAACATATATCAAATGAAGTATTTATTAGTTGACCATGATGCAATTATTTGGTATGATAACTATAGAGGCTGAGGCCATTGCCAACATGCCAAAGCCATGATAATCTGTATTAGTAATGATGTCAACTCTTTACATCCCTTGTTATGAAAAGAATTCCTATGCCAGGTGCTTGTGGAAAATTTGCAACTTCCCTAACCACATAACAGAGGGGCTGTCACAGTTGATAGCCACTAAATTTCCAAGATTTATTTGTTCATGACAACAAACAAGACTTAGAGGCGACAGGGACACCAAAACCACAGTACTTTTTTTTTTTTGATA